CGGTACATCCTCTCCAGGTAACAGCGATGTTTGGAGTGTCTGCCATTTGCTCTCCTCTTCTTCTTGGACCCATAGTGGGGAGACCCTGTGCTCACGCTGTGCCATCTCTCTCTGGCTACAGTCCACAAGAGCAGTGAGGGCCCCCAAATCAATCCGGGCTGGCTGAACCTCTTCCCAGGAGAAGCTGGACTCATGCCTGGATGCCACATTATCACAACTCATTTCACAACTTCCCGAACCAAATTAGTTTATTTAAAACCAAATACACATAGTAGACTGTTTTGGGGGAGGGAAGCTGTGATCAAGGGTTCTCTACACCTCCTTGTGGGGTGCAGGGGAGTCAGTTCTGACTCAGCACCACCCAACAAGCACAGAATACAACACTGCCTGGTTTTGCACCAATCTGACAGTCAGTGCTATAGCTGAGCCCCACGTTCTTGACTTAGGACGTCAATAAGCTCAGTGCTGCCCAAGACTTTCTGTGGGGGATGAGAGGAAAGACCAGTTGCTTGGTGAGAGTCACCAGGAAGCATAAAGCAATAGACTGTGTAGACCTAGATTGCCTCGTTCAGGGGAAAGGCGAGGGAGGAGTGCTCTCCAGAGAAGAGTTTTCTCTCTCTGGCACCAAGGTCCTTGGGGAGGTGGTTGGGAACAGCTCTTTGGAACACCCGTGTCCCAGTTTTCCGCACACACCCCTATGGGGCATTGGAAGATTATGAAATCATGGTTCTCTTTTTCATCTTCTGGACACAAGTGGGGAAGTCTTTTAAATGCTTAAAGAAATGAGAAATAGAATGTTCATGTCAACCAAGAAGTAGCATACTGTAATTATGAAGGTGACCTTGCTCCAAGAAGGCATGTGAGGAATTTGAATTGAAAACCTCAGAACAATTTCCAGGTTACATCATCAAAACCCAAAAGCTGTGAATAGAAGGGGAAGCAGGAAAACTAGTGGGGTGGGGGGAAGGGTCACCTTTCTGTTATATTGTTGCTCCCACCCCCAAGGACCACCCAGCCTCCTAAAGATCCCTAGTGGTACAGTGTGTTAAGCCCTGCAAGATTAGAGGGAGAAAGATGAGGCTGTCTGCTCCCAGAGAGGTGTGCACGCTTGGAAATACTGTGGAGCCGTTCTATGCTGTGTTCAGGGGTGGTTTTGAGGTGGAATGGGCTCAAGAGCAGGGCGTGGAGGTATTTTTTCTCTTAATGAGTCACAGGACAGGTTCTGGATGTAGAGAAATCTCTCTGTCTCTCAAACTCAGAGAACCAACCCTCGGCTTCCTGTTCCCGCTTACAGACAAGCCAGACCCTACACCTTGATGGGCACGGGCGTTTTGCAACGCAGCATGACAGTCAAAGGTGCTGGGCCAAAGGAACTATCTCTGTGTCCCGTCTCTCTTCTCCTGGAGTTACGACGCAAGATTTATGTTTCTCACTCACCTTCAACTCTCTGGGGGTGTGGGGTGATGTGTTGTTTGTTTTTTTGTACCAACTCTATGACATAAAGGCACAGTTTCATCACTGTCTTTGAGATAGCTTAAGAGAGACCCCGAAGTGTCCCTTAGGAGAAAGCACCTCACGTTCCCTGGTAAAGTTTGGTACAAGTGGACTAGAAAGGCGGGGTCCAAGGCAGGAGAGCTCAGTCGTTGACTGGATACCCAGAAACTCCCTGAACTAGAATGGACCCAGTTCTGAGAAATACGTGGACTCCCCCATATCCAAATGAAGACCATTTGAGTACAAAAGAGGCTGAATGTAATTCAAGGCCAAATGACTCTCAACGAGCTGTTACATTCATCCAAAGGTTAAATCCACTGGGAAGATGTGTGTGGGTTCGGGGAACTGTATGCTAATGAGATTTGCAGTGAAATGGTATTTAAATAGCTAAGAATTGTTCCCTACCTCACAACCTCATACCGCTTGTAATTGTCCCTGGAGACTCTTACAGCCACAATTAAGTGAGGATTGGGCTTATTTAGTCATTACGGAAACAAATGCACATTAAAACCACAGAGAGAGACCACTACACACCCATGTGAATGGCTAAAGCTAGCAAGACTCATCACATCAAGTGTTGGTAAGGATACAGAGACACTGGCAACCTGCCCCTCTGGTCTCAATTCAGCCACTAGGTATTGAACGTCTTCTATTTGCAAGATCCTTTGCTAGATAACTACACTGAAGGCATGGCACGCTGAACGTGGATCTTTTCTTTAAGGGCTCAGCACAGCTATGGAGCAAGAAGTACGTGAAGGACAACGCTGGCTATCAGATAATGGGATGGAGAGCCTCAACCAGATAGCTTCCGATTCACCGGAGTCTCTGCTGAAAATACCGATACTCAGGCCTCTTCTCAGAGTTACCCTTTGGGATACGGCCCTGGTCAACTCTGAAAATGAAACACAAACAAAAACACGAGACATAGAAATTTTAAACCGATTGAATCATTATTCCTCCTCGATCCCCGACGTCATTGTTTTACATGTATTTCTCGTGACTCGACTTTTCAGAGAGCCCCTTAAACAGCAGGACAGTCAGTGTCTCCCTTGGGAAGAACACATACAGAAACTGGCAGGGAGAATGGTGAACAGGACCCTCCTAAGATGCCACCATGCCACCCCAGGACTCAGGTGGGCCTGACCCCGATCCACGTTGTTTCAATCGCCTCCAGTGCCTGTGAAAGCCGGGCATAGAACAAAGGACCCCATGAAGAACCGATGCCGTTGCGTTATGATGCCGTCGAAGAATCTTGAAAGTACCAGGGACTGACAAGACGACAACAACACATCTGTCTTGGAAAAAGCGCAGCCGGAACGCTCCTGAGAAGTAAGGATGGCCAGACTTCACCTCGGGCGCTTTGAGCATGTTAGCAGGAGAGACCCGCCCCTGGAAAAAGAGGCCGTGAAAAGGGGGAGACCTTCAGCAAGACGGATTGACAGTGTGTCTGCCACAACGGGTTCAAACATAAGAACTGTGAGGACGACAAGGGACAGGCAGTGTCCCATTGTGTTGTACTTAGGGTCACTCTGAGTCAGAGGCGACTCGATGAGACCTAGGACAACAGCAACATACCTGAGTCCCCGGGGCCAAGGAACAAACGTCCACGGGGCCACTGCACCCAGATTCCCTTCCTCGGTCTCCAGGAACTTAAATCAAAGCAAAGAGGATGCACTGTGGGAAATTCGGAGAAGCAGACCTTGTTCGACCACACTTTGCAGCTGCTACATTTTGTTTGGCATATTGAAGGTACGTGGTAGCCCTGCATGGAGTCTCTCAGCGCCATTCTTCCAGCAGCATGTGCTGCTTCTTGTCTCTGTGTCACACATAAGTCATTCTCCCAATATTTCAGACTTTAAAAAAAATGCTATTGCACATTCTACAGAGACTCTCCCCAAACTCACTACCATTGAGTTGATGCTGGCTCAGTAACCCTAATAGGATTGCCCCTGTGGATTTCTAACGCTGTAAATCTCTGTGGGAGCAGAAAGCCTCTTTTGTCTCCCACAAAGCATCTGTAAATTGGTAATGCTGCTTTGGGGATTGGCGGCCCAACACATATAACCCCATACTCCACCCAGGTTCCTTCCCATAGACTACTGATATAGTTGAAGTTTATTGTTCCAATCTGGCTGATAAACACATGTGGGGTTAATTGAAGGGTGGAGAGATAAATGGCTCAGTGAGCCTCACACCTTTCTAGTTCTCAGGTCCCTTGCTTTGTGATGGTCGGACCAGGGTGCAGCTGCCTTAACCAGTTCTCTGCTTCAGCTGGCAAAGCTCATTTCCTGCTAAGGTGACCAGATTTTAACATTGGTAAAGCGGGACCCCATTGATAAAACTCATATCCTGGCAAAATAGCCACATGGCAGCCAAAAACTGTATACCCTAGCTTGTCATGCATTCTTTCCAAAAATGGGGACTTTTTAAAACACCGCAGGATGCAGGAAAAATTGTTAAAAATCAGGACTGTCCTGCCCAAAGCGGGACATCTGGTCACCTTATGCAAGACATCCCCCAAGGAGAAACAGCATAGACCTACCCTGATGCAGCCCTGGGTGCTGGAACAGTCATGTGGAGACTCCTGCCAGCGCTGAGATGCTTACATGCTCACTGATTAGGCTTTCCCCCTGCAGTCAGCGTCATTGCATGTTTTGTGAGATGGAGGAGGACTTTGTGGATTGGTGTCGGACATATGGGCTAATGTTGGACTTGTGGGCTTGGACAGCCCTGGGTTAGAATGTCTTCTTGATGTGCACTTACTCTTTATATAAAACTCTCTTATACATGAGTTTCTGTGGATTTGTTTCTCTAAAGTACCCAGACTAACACAACTACATTGTAGAATAAAACCAACGTTCATATGCACTGGGAAACCAGGATGTTTCGTGTAACTCATCGTCAGCCTTAAAGGACAGGGTAGAACTGCCCCTGTCGGTTTCTGAGACTGTAACTCCTTACGGGAGGAGAAAGCCTATCTTTCTCCCTCAGAGTGCCTGGTCATTTCAAGCTTCTGACCTTGCTTTTAGTCCAATTCATAATCGCAATGCCACCAGGGCTCCTTAAGTTGTCTACCTAGCTTCAAATTGGTTGTGCCACTTGGAATGGCTATAGAGAATGAAGGCACACAGGCCACCAGGAATATGCCACGGAGAAGACCAAGGAAGTCAACACCATCGGCATCCCCCTCCACCTACAATCACCGCAGAATGAAGAGACCAAGAAGAGGTGACAGGGTTAGCACCAAAGTGTGACAATGACCTTGAAGAGGGCAAATGGCTCCTCTTTGTGTGTTTGAAACCACAATAAAATTGACAGGAAAGCGAACTTGAGCCCAGATGACCAACATCTCCCCCCACCCCTCCATCTTTCCTCTTCCTCTCCAAGTGAAATGGCTGAAGACCAGGAAGACGGGAGTCACTGGGGAAGATCCAGAGGGCCCAGAGGTCTCCTTCCTGCCACGGAGCATGCTGGGAAGCCCTCCGATGGCCCCACAATTCCTAGGTGGGGAAGAATAACTCTTCTGTGTAGATCTCCTTCCTTGTAGCCTCTCATAAATTCTGGTAGTAAGTTCTGGTAGATGATGTATTGCTTGGGAGAACAGGGGGGCGGAAAGCACGTACTTGCTTCATCGAGAAGTTCAAGCTCCTGTCAATCCCGGGGAGAAAGAACTTCAGGTCACGTGAGCAACCCAGGGCCATCCGGGTAATTCCAACTCATAGCAACCACACAGTTGTTTCATTATGTTGTAGTAAGAGACACTGAGTCGGAACTGACTCAATGGCAACTAAACTCAACAACAACAACAAACAACAACATCTTGACGCTATAGGACAGAGTAGAAGCCAATAGAAACCTTTTGGGCTTCCAAGAATGTAACTCTTTAAGAGAGCAGAAAGCCCCATCTTTCTCCTGCTGAATCCCTGGTGCCCTAGAACTGCTCAGCTTGCAGTTAGCAGCCCCATGGGTGACCCACTGGCCACCAGGGCTCCTGGGCCTGTGGACAAGGGCCTTGTTCCCCGGGGGCGGCCTCAATAGCTGCAGTCAACTCCAACCACCTGCAGCCTGGCCTCGGGAGCCAAGACTCAGTCTTCACATTCCTTCGATTCTGGGGGAGCCAAGATGCATGGGCCCGAAGCCCGGACCATTTTTGAACATTCTTTAAGGGAAAAAGTCCCACAAAGCACGGCTATCAGGTTTAAGTAGAACAGAGAAAGGAATTACAGCAGGCTTCAAGGTTTATAGCTCTAGCAAATACCACAAACAATATCAACACCCAGAAAAATCACACAATAATTTTATCAACGGACTGCCTGGCTTCTCTAATTTTTTTTCCTACCATTTTTTGGACTGTTTGTTCCCTGGTCTCCTCCTCCTCTGACACGATTTTGGAACTTTTCTGTAAAGCAAACAAAAAGTGAATTTGGCCTTGGCTCTCGCATGATTGATCAACATTTGTCTTTGCAGTGATTGATCACAGCGAGAGCGTTCTCTGGGCTTCCCAAGGGGCTACTGGCAAGGCCATGGGATTTGCAAGATGGATGTTTGCCTTCTCTTCGTAGGGCTGCCCTAACACATTGCACGGGCTCGGCCGACTAACAAAAGCAGACATGCACGCTATCGCTTCCAAAGCCCAACATCCGTCTCATCCAGGCTGTGGTTTCCTGAGATCTCTTTCTTCAGGGGCTGGAGGACCCCTACCCCACCCCGACCCCCGCGCCCAGGACCTCACTCACATGGGGCTGACAGGACCTTTTCCCTCCTTCAGGCTTTCAGCCTCCAGGACAGAAGTCTACCGGTTCAAACCGGCTCCAGCTCCAGCCTGTTGGTGTAAATAAAGTTTTATTGGCACACAGTTGTCTGGCTGTTTTCACTCCGAGGGCAGAGTTGAGTTGTCATTATTGAGACCATATGGTCTCCAAAGACTAGGTGTTTACGCTCTAGATCTTTAGGAGCCCTGGTAGGTGCAATGGTTAAGTGCTCAGCTGTTCATTGAGAGGTCAGTTTCAAACCCACTGCTGATTGCTCCCTGGGGAAAAGATGTGGCAGTCTGCTTCCATAGAGATTACAGTTTCAGAAACCCTATAGGGTAGTTCTAGTCTGTCCTACAGGGTCACTGTGTTAGGCAGGGTTCTCTAGAGAAACGAGACCAGGGCACTTATGAATATATATATACAGTGAGAAGGAATATAACAGCTAATTAGTCCACACAGTAATACAGAGGGTTCAGTTCAACTCACTTCTCTGGAAGTCCTTCAGCTCACAAGGGCTGCCTGGTCCAAGGTCAAGGAAGCAGACAGCAGAGTCCTTCCTGGGGCAAGGCAAGCAAAGTCTGCCCACAGGCAACAAGCAGCAGAGAGCTTAGCAAAGCAGGCCCGATGGGATGTCGAATGCAAGGTGACAGAATCCTTGGCCTCAAACTCAAGCAATGTATGCACCAGCAGCGCGGCAAAGCAGGTCTCAAAGGAGCCTCATCATCTAGCGATGATTCAGAGGCTGGCCTCACCCACAGGAGGTGTAGCTCACAGGTTGAGGCAGAGAACTTAGCTACAACAGCAGCAAAAACACTCCAGCGTGCTCCCATCACCTGAGAGCAAGAGAGGCAGAGGTGGGCCTCAAAGAACCATTTAGCGCTTTGCTACCCAATCAAATTACAATCTGATTAATCCCACATGTTGCTATTGGCCAGGATGGCACAATAAACTTACCTCTCACGGTCACTATGAGTTGGAATTGACTTGGCGGCAAGGGTTTTACTTCATCTGGCCCTTTACAGAATAGTGTTGGCTGACCTCTGCTTACTCAAGTGCAATTCAAGATCTCCGTCAACAATGTGTCCGGTGCTAACCACCACTATCTCGTTTGTCCCCACACCTGAAAAGAGGAAACCTAGGTTCTGGGAGGTACAGCGACTCACCCAAGAGTTCACAGGTCGATGATACACTCAGGTCCCTAGGATACAGACTGCAGTGATTTACTCATCTCTACCGTGCCTGTGGGGCTGGGAAAGGAGAAAGAGTCCTGATTTCAGTGACTCCTCCTTGTAAGGAGGTTGGCTGTTCAGACCTATCAGCCAATTCATGGGAGAAAGATGAGGCAGTTTTATTCTGTAAAGACTTACAGCCTTAGAAATCCTATGGGGCCCATTCCAGTTGATTCAATGGTCATGGGTTTGGGGGATGTAAGTCTCTGGTAGGAGAAGTCTCCTGTCTCCAGGTCCTGGGCATTCATGGAAAGCTCCCGGCTGGGCCAGATGGACCTGCCCAGGGCTTGGGGCCTGCCTCCCTATCAGCAAGTATGATAGTTTTATTTACCAACTTTCAAGCTATTACCTAGCAGTGTTAAAGTCTTCAAGCGTAATGAGTTGGATCAAAAATGAAGCTGAGCTGCTGCTGGTTTTGAACTACCAACCTTGTAGTTAGAAGCCCAATGCCTTCAGAAGCTGAAGCAGAAAGCATTTTCACACCACTCTGCTGTCTGGGGTGAGGGCTTTCCAAAGGGAGCCTTTGTAATAGAGTGTGCCCCTGTCCTAATCTACAGTTCCCTTCGCAGCTTACAGTGCCATCTCCCTCCCTCCATTCTGCTCTTTCTCCTCTCTGGCTGTCTGTCCCTCTTGGTTCTTGGGGTGACACCAGAGATCATCAAAGGATGTCCCTGCAGTCGTCCTTGCCAGCACAGCAGCAGGGGGTAGAGGAAACCAGATGGTTGTCAGCAATCCTGAAGGCTGCATCCTAAGACCTGGAGCAAGTCACCTCACCTGTCCCTGTGAAGGGGAAGAGGGGGGGGGGCAGTTAATGAAGGATATCTCTAAGACCCCTTATAGCCTCTGACTCAAAGTAGGGGGATAAGAAGTGTCTTCAAGAAAATATGGGGCTCCCCACACCCATAAAGAGTTACAGCCTCAGAAACCCACAGGGGCAGTTCTACCCTGTCTTGCAGGGTTGTGACGAGTCAGAATCGACTCGAGTCAAGAGTGGGTCATAGGTAAATCCTTACCATAAAACAGTGCTTTGTCTTCATTCCCTAGATGATAGGGCCTAGAGCCGCAGTTCTCAATCGGTGGGTCGCAACCCCTTTGGGGGTCGAACGACCCTTTCACAGGGGTCGCCCAATCAATAACAGTAGCAAAATGACAGTTGTGAAGTTGCAACGAAAATAATTTTATGGTTGGGGGAGGGGGGGGTCACCACAACATGAAGAACTGTATTAAAGGGTCACAGCATTAGGAAGGTTGAGAACTGCTGGCCTGGAGCCTTCTGAATAACCCGGGGGTCCCCACCATAGAGCTCTAAGCAGACCCTCTCTCCCCCAGGCTCCCACCCACCCTCCTGCTCCCTCTCCTGCTGCCCCTGAGCTTGGCCTGGGGCTCCAGCACTTCACTGGGACTGGGTGGGTGCCTGTGTACCACCCACCACCCACCCTTCCTCAGCGAGGGGTGGCATGACAAGAGTCCCCGTGGAGTGCAGGGGAACGAGCCTGCTCTTATTACAGAGCCGGTGAGACGAATCACAGGGCCCCACAAGGAAAGGCAGTGGAGAAGACCACGCATGGAGGAACTGTTGAATGGCTTCATGCATTCCCTTTGGATGCCCGATGCTGACATGGCTGGTCACTCGGCACTTGAGTTTTTGGTTCCCCCCTCTCACCACTTCTAGGCAGTTCCTAACTCACACTCTTAAGTTGGGCCCTCCTATGGAGGTGAGTGAGGAGACCAGGTGGCCCAGTGGGGTAGGCGTTGGGCTGCTAACTACAAGGCTGGCAGTTCAAAGCCACCCACAGCTCCATGACAGAAAGATGAGGCAATCTGCTTGGAAACCCTAAGGAGCAGGTCTGCCCTGTCCTAGAGGATCGCTGAGTGTCAGAATCAACTTGGCGGCAGTGGGTTTGGGGTTTTATGGAAGTAAATGGGCTGGCACCTGCCTGTGAGGTTGCACTCACTCACTGCCATCGAGCTGATGCTGACTCAGTGACCCAATAGGACAGGGTAGAACTGCCCCTGTGGGTTTCTGAGACTGTAGCTCGTTATAGGTAGATGGCCCCATCTTTCTATCTCAGAATGGCTGGTGGTTTTGATCTGCTGACCTTGTGGTTAGTAGCCCAATGAGTATCCACTACGCCACCCATGCTCTTCATGAAGTTGTGCCATCCCTGCTAAGAACACAGGCACCATGGGATGTCTAGGCAGGCTCCCAGGCAGGCATTGGCAGTCAACTTCCCCTGACTCCTCTTGCATGTGTGGAAGTTCAGAGTGATCTGGGGCCCCTCCTGATCCCCACGTTCTTTTCCTCCCCCCCAAATATGGGGTGATGGGTAGTAGTGGTTCAGAGGTCAAGTTCTCCTTTCCATCCTGGAGATCCAGGTTCGATTCCCAACCAATGCACCTCCTGTGTAGCCATCATGGTCTGCGAGTGCAGGCTGGTCTATTACTATGATGCTGTGTAGGTCTCAGGGGAGCTTCCACACTAAGAAGGACTAGGGAGTGATCTGTTAATGGAAAGTATTCAATGAAAACCCTATGGGTTCCAATTGTTTGACCAGCAACACATCCTACAGTTGGAAAGAGGGTTTCACTAACAGCTCACTAACAGCTAAAAACCACAAATGGCATGTTCTCTCTTGCTTATTCCCCTTTCAGCTTCCTCCCCCCATCACTCACACTCATTTATAGTCATCAAGTCTGACTCAAGGTGAGCCTACAGGAGAGAGTAGAATTGCCTCTGAGTTTCTCAGACTGTAAATTGTCACAGGAGAAGAAAGCCTCATCTTTCTCCCACTCCCCCATCCATAGCCTGGTTCAATTGCCTTCCTGAAGGTCAGCTTCCCAAATAAAATACCAGTCCCAGAAGGAAACTATCTTCTGGTCCTCCAGCTATTCCTCAGCATCTCCCAAGGAATGTGTCAGCATGAGAGACCGAGGTAAAAGTTGAGTGAATGAGTGAATAGTCATTCATAAAGCTCTGGTTTCTCCTCCCACTTTCATCAGGATAGCTCTGCAGTCTCGAACTGTCTGCTACACAGCCTGCATCTTCAGCTGCTTGTCCGCATTTTCCTCTGCTTTAACTTCCCAGCAGAAATATTTTCCTTGTTCCCCAAGCCAGCACGATCCTTGGACCTCCCTGTTTCTCCCAGTGGCTCCATCAAATGACTCCCATACAAGATGTCATGACGAACTGCCTCTCTGCTACTGACCCCTGCCCCTTCCCCACTCCAGTGGACGCATGTCCTCTAGAGCAGCGTCCTCAAAGTCTATGTCCAGTTGTTACTTCCCTAACCTAATGGAAAAAACCACCAGCCATTCACTGCCCTCTCTTTGAAACCTTGATGTTAAGGATCCTCCATGGTCCTCTCCATGTGGCATCAGCATTGAAAGAAGGTTTATTAGCAACCTGCGGTATGCAGATGACACCACCTTGCTTGCTTGGGAGAAAGACTTGAAGCCCTTGCTGATGAAGATCCAAGATTGTCTGTAGCCTTCAGTGTGAATTACAAATCAATGGCAAGAAGACCAGAATCCTCACAACTGGACCAATAGGTACCATCATGCAAATGTAGAAAAGATTGATGTCAAGGATTTTGTCTTGCTTGGATCCACAATCAGTGCTCATGGAAGCAGCAGTCAAGAGAGCAAATGCTGCACTGCACTGGGCAAATCTGCTGCACAAGACCTCTTTAGAGTGTTGAAAAACAAGGAAGGTCCTTTGAGGACGACAGTGCACCTGATCCAAACCATGGTCTTCTCAATGGCCTCATGTGTATGGTTAAGTTGGACATTGAATTGAATTAGGAAGACAAAGGACAAATCGGTGCATTTGAATTGCG